TGACTAGTAGTATACAATCAGGGGCTGAGACTAAACAATAGTGGCAGCTATTTTGGACAAATTCCTGCTCTCTTAATTCAGTTATATATTGTGATAACTACTATGCATCCTTAACAATAAACTGCAGGTAATCGAATTATGCCTCTCAATCATCATGATAATGGAGAACGACATTATAAGAGCAGCAGATATAAAATGCCACATACTCCGAGTAACCCAAGAATGAGGGTTAGAAAATGGTGCTTCCAGGAAGAGCCATTTTTCTTTTCTTTCCTCCTATCATCTACCTTTTAAAATTACTGTTTCCTTCCCAAATCACTAGGAAAATGCCTACTATACATTTTAGCACCAGATCTGATCCTTCTTTGCCTCCTCAGGTGGTACAATCTTGCGATATGAAATAGAGAAAAAAGCATGACATTTTGGGTGTTATGGTCAGAGGGTACTGTCACATTTAAAATTAACTAATAGGGGGGCGCCTGGGTGGCTCAGTCGGTTGAGTGTCTGACTTCGGCTCAGGTCATAGTCTCATGGTTCCTGAGTTCAAGTTCCACATCTGTGCTGACAGCTCAGAGCCTGGAGCCTGTTTCAGATTCTGTGTCTTCCTCTCTCTCTGCCCCTCCCCTGTTCATGCTCTGTCTCTCTCTGTCTCAAAAATAAATAAACGTTAAAAAAAAAATAAAAATAAAAATAAAAATTACTTCTAGTATGTCAGGAAACCTTTACTAATTTAGAGATGTCAAACAAAAGATTAAAGATAATGCAATTACTGGGGGGCCTGGGTGGCTCAATCAGTTGAGTGTCCAACTTCGGCTCAGGTCATGATCTTGCAGTCTGTGAGTTTGAGCCCCGCGTGGGGCTCTGTGTTGACAGCTCAGAGCCTGCTTCAGATTCTGTGTCTCTCTGTCTTCCCCTCCCCCACTCACACTCTATCTCTCTCAAAAAATAAACATAAAAAATTTCTTTAATAAATAAATAAACATTAAAAACAAGACATGCAATTACTATATTAATGCACCCAATCAACAAGAATTTAATGAATGCCTACATGCCAGATATTGTTCTAGTTGCCCAGGAAAACACAGGAGAGATAAAGTAAAATTCTTGTTCTTATGGAACTTATATTCTAGTGGTGGTGAGAACATACAGGCAGTAACTAAACAGTAAATATACAGTATGTTAGTTGGTGAGGAGTGCTACAGAGAAAAATTAATCAGGGAAGCGTGAGTGGATGGTGATTGGGGGAAGGAGCTAGCTGTTTTATACAGTTTTATCCAAAAGAATCCCCAGTAAGGGTTCAAGGAGGAAAATAAATAAATAGATAATCCTCAGTGAGAAGATGGCATTTGAGCAGAGATGGGAAGGAAGTAAGGAAGTATGTGGGTATTTGGGCAAAGAATGTCCAGGCAGAGGAAACAGCAAGCACAGAATCTCCAAGGAAGGAGCATGCGTGGTGTGTGTGAGGAAAAGCAAGAAGGTCATGGGGCTGGGCCAGACTAATAAGAGTTGTAAGAGATGAAGTCAGATAAGTGGGTGGGTGTGGTGGGCAGGTCAGATCACGTAAGTACTCCTGTAAGACGTAGCACTTTGAAAGATCACCTGGCTGCTATTTTGAGAATATTACTGTTGTGGCTGGAGACAGGACAGAAATACGGAGATCAGTTAGGGGGTGTCTTAGATCAGGCTGCTATAACTGCTATAACTAAGTGGTTTATAAATAACGGAAATTCATGTCATGGTTTGTGAGGCTGAAAGTCTGAGATCAGGGTGCCAGCATGGTCAGGTTTTGGTGAGGGCTCTCCTCTGGGTTCTAGATGACTGATGTCTCAGTGTAATCCCAAACGGCAGAAAGGAGGCAGAGCTCTTTGGGGTCTCTTTTATAAAGAGCGCTAATCTCATTCATGAGGACTCCACCCTCATTACCTAATTACTTCTCAAAGGCCCCACCTCCAGGTACCATCACAGGGAAGGTTAGGATTCCAACATATGAATTTTGGGGGGACACAAACATTTACTCTGCTTCAGGAGGGATTATATTAAATCTAAAGATGATGTGACTTAGAGTAGATTTTGTTTCATTTGAGGTATTGGGAAATGGTTGGCTGTTACAAATAAAACTTCTATGAACATTTATGTGTAAGTCTTTGTATGGTCATATGTTTACATTTCTCCTGGGTAAATACCTTGGAGTGGAATGGCCAGGTCACATGATAACTATACATTTAACATTTTAAGAAACTGCCAAACTGTTTTCCAAAGTGATTGGTCCATTTTATGTTCCCACCAGTAGACTATGAGAACTTCAGTTGTTCCATATTGTTGCTAACACGTTTTACACTAATTGTAACCACTCTAGTACATACATAGTGGTATCTCATTGTGGTTTTCATTGGCATTTCTGTAATAACTAGTGATGTTGAGTGTCTTTTCATGTGTTCATTTTGCCACCTCCATTTCTTCTTTGGTGAAGTGTCATTTCAAATCATTTGCCCACTTTTAAAAATTGTATTGCTTGATTTCTTATTGTTGAGTTTTGAAAGTTCTTTATATAATCTTGATGCAAATCCTTTATCAAACACATGATTTGCAAATATTTTCTCCCTGTGTGTTTCTTGTCCTTTTATTCTCTTAAACAGTATCTTTTTGAGGAGCTGAAGTTCTTAATTTTAAAAGAAAAAGTTAAAAGAAAATTGGGGTCCATTATTCAATCTGGAGTCACATGTTGCCCTTAGTTTTTATGTCTCTTCAGTCTCATTTAATCTGGAAAAGATCTTCAGTCTGTTTTTGTTTTTCATATCCTTGACATATTTAAAGAATACAGGCCAGTTATTTTTGTAGAATGTTCCTCACTTTGGGTTTTTTTTATGTTTCCTCATGATTAGTTTGAAGTTTTTTGGCAGGAATACCACAAAAGTGATGTTGTGTACTTCTCAGTGCACCATATCATGAGGCACATGATATTGACTTGTCTTAATTCCAGTGATATTAACTTTGATCACTTGGTTAAAAGTTTTTCTGTTGTAAAGTTCTGGGTTTTTTTTTTTTTTATGTTTATTTATTATTGAGAGACAGAAAGGCACAGAGCATGAGCAGGGGAGGGGCAGAGAGAGGGAGAGACACAGAATCTGAAATAGGCTCCAGGCTCTGAGCTGTCAGCACAGAGCCTGATGTGGGGCTCGAACTCAGAAACTGTGTGATCATGACCTAAGCTGAAGTCAGTCGCCTAACCAACTGAGCCACCCAGGCACCTTTGTTTTTTTTTTTTTTTAATGTGTATTTTTTAGAGAGAGACAGAGCATGAGGGGGGTGGTAAGGGGTGGAGGGGGGAGGGTCAGAGAGAGAGAGACACAGAATCCGAAGCAGGCTTCAGGCTCTGAGCTGTCAGCACAGAGCCTGATGCGGGGCTCAAACTCACGAACCATGAGATCATGACCTGAGCCGAAGTCGGACACTTAACTGCCTGAGGCACCAAGGCGCCCCTGTTTTTCTATTTTTAATCAATGAATTTTGGGGGGAGATAATATTTTGTAAGAGTATGTAGACCTCTTCACCCATTAGTTTAAGTACCCATTGACAATTTTTGCCCAAATCAATTATTATGATGTTTGTTGTATAAAAGCTTTTTCTATCCCTCATTCATTCATTCATTCATTCATTCCCTTATTCATTCCTATGCTTTCTATATCAGTATGGATTTGTGGATTCTTATTTCTCTTAATAGGTTTTAATCTGTTAATATAATTATTTTCTTGCTGAAATTGTCCCAGATTTGGCTAGGTAAATAGGTTCCTGTGCTTTTTTGACATTCCCACTATGTTTGAACCGCTTTTTTACAGTGGCATGACAAGATGTTTGAGGTTCCTCTTATATTTTCTCTGCTTCAGGCTGGAATCAGCCATTTCTCCAAGGAGCATTGATTTCTTTTTATAGACAGTATGTTTAGAAGCTAAAATTTGGGCATTAATTGTTCTTATTGCAATTGGGAACTGATTACTTCTAGGCTTTCTCAGCAGACAGTGCTAAGAAATATTCTTATTATATTAAAAATCATATATTCATACAGTTCTTTCCTTTTAGAATGAAGTTATAGTGTTAAAATGCCATGCTCAAAGGTGACTTGAACAGCCCTTCCTGACTCTCTCCCCCACTCTCCCACCTCAGGGGTAGTTATGTTATTCTTTTGAATGCAATAAGAACACAATTATTATTATATTCTTTAGATACTAATAGTTTGTATTCCTTTTAAGGGTTAAAATATATTATTATTTTATGAATATTAAAAAGTAACATGCTTCAAAAGTTGAAGTGATAAAAATGATAAACTTAGAGAAGTATCACTCTAGTCATTTAAGTGAGTAGACTTCTAGCTTTCTTAAAACCTTCTCACAAACTATGCCCTCCACCTGCTCATTTCTACTTTTTAGCCTTGTTTATAATTCTTCAAACTCCAGGCTCAAGTCAAATGCCATTTCCTTAGGGAAATCTTCTCCCTGTAAACATCCCCCAACCCTAACCACCCCACCCCCCAAAAGAACTGGATCTTCTTGCTATTAAATCCTCCAAACATTTTCTTCATGGCACTGATCACGGTTAACTCTTATAATAAATATTTATTTCTTTGAATCATGGCTACCTGGCTCACCATGCTTCAGATTCCATGTATAGCAAATATTTGTTGAAGAAGTGAATGTACATCAGAAAAAAATTAAGGTTTAGGTTACTATGTAGTATCAAAATTAAATATAATAAAATTATGTGGCCATTTTAGCTAATTCACAGTTACTTTAGCTTTGTTTACAAATTCACGTATCTTTGGTTTTTTGGTACAACTATAAAAATTTAATGTAAATATCAGTCTGGCCTTGAATAATTGAAAGTAGTTGTATTGGCAAATACCAGCCTATGCTTTTTAACTAACAAAATTATACAAAAGGAAGATTTTTTTTTTTGAGAGAGGAGGGGTACAAGTGAGCGAGGGGCAGAGAGAGAGAGAGAGAGAGAGAGAGAAGTGGGGCTCACCTGGGGCTCATGTTTTACCCAAAGTAGGGCTCATGCTCATCTGAAGTGAGACTTGTGCTCACCAGATGAGGGGCTTGAGCTCACCTGATGTGGGACTCAAACTTATTAACTATGAGATCATGACCGGAGTCAAAGTCAGATGCTTAACAACTAAGCCACTCAGTTGCCCTAGAAAAGGAAGATTTTTAAGGAAAGAAGTGTGAATAAATAAAATAATTGCTATATTTCTTGTTGCTAAGTAGAGGAAACAAATGGAGTGAAGTAGGAGATAAAAAGAGCCATTATTTGACAACATGAAAGATAGCTATTTTGGTATATGACTGAAAACACTTTTCATTATTTTTGTCATGTTTTCCAATATTACTGCAAATATACTTAAGACCCTAATGCAGAGCAAATGCCTTTAATTTCTATGGCCAATAAGTAGAATTTTATCTAAAATATCCCAAGCAACCATTCTTTTTTAAAAAATTAACTTTATTTTACATAATTATTTTAAATAGACTTTGTATTTTAGAGAAGTTTTAGATTAATGGCAAAATTGGGAGACAGATACAGAGATTTCCCATACATCCCCTGACCCACACGTGCATAGACTCCCTCATTATCAACATCCCCCACTAGAGGGGATTATTTGTTACAGCTGATGAACCTCCATTGACATATTATTAGCATTGGAAGTTCATTGATTATATCAGGGCTCACTCTTGGTGTTGTACATTCTATGGGTTTTGACAATTTCATAATGACATATATGCACCGTTATAGTATCATATAGAGTAGTTGCATGCCCTAAAAATCCCCTGTTCCCTGCCTACTTACAAACCCCTGGCAACCACCAATCTTTCTATTGTCCATAGTTTTAGTTTTTTTCAGAATGTCATATAGTTGGAGTCATAGTATAAAGTCTTTCAGATTAGCCTCTTTCACTTAGTTCTATATATTTAAGTCTGTTTTTTCATGGCCTGGTAGCTCCTTGCTTTTTAGCACTGAATAATATTCCATTATCTGGCTGTACCACAGTATATTATCCATTTACCTACTGAATGAAGGACATCTTTGTTGCTTCCAAGTTTTGCCAATTCTGAATAAAGCTGCTATAAATATCCACGTGCAGGTTTTGTGGGGACATAAATTTTCAACTTTTTTGGGAAAATACCAAGAAATATAATTGCTAGATTGTATGATAAGAGTATGTTTGGGGCGCCTGGGTGGCTCAGTCAGTTAAGCGGCTGACTTTGGGTCAGGTCATGGTCTCGCGGTCCGTGAGTTCGAGCCCCGCGTCGGGCTCTGTGCTGACAGCTCAGAGCCTGGAGCCTGTTTCGGATTCTGTGTCTCCCCCTCTCTCTGACCCTCCCCCGTTCATGCTCTGTCTCTCTCTGTCTCCAAAATAAATAAACGTTAAAAAAAATTAAAAAAAAAAAAGAGTATGTTTAATTTTGTAAGAAACCACAAAACTGTTTTCCAAAACGGCTGTACCATTTTGCTTCCCACCAGCAATGAATAAGGGTTCCTGTTGCTTCATGTTCTCACCAGCATTTGGTGTTGTCAGTGTTTTGGATTTTGGCCATTCTAATAGGTATATAGAAGCATTTCATTGTTTTAATTTGCATTCCCTTGATGACATATGATGTGGAACATCTTTTCTTTTTTAAAATTTATTTTGAGAAAGAGTGCACGCACACTGAGAGGGAAAGGGGCAGGGAGGGAGAGAATCCCAAGCAGGCTCCATGTTGTCAGAGAGCAGCCTGACATGGGGCTCTTTCCCACAAACCATAATATCCTGACCTGAGCCCAAACCAAGAATCTGACACTTAACCAGACTGAGCAGGCCAGCCACCCGGAAGCATCTTTTCATATGCTTATTTTCCATCTGTATATCTTTTTGGTGAGATCTCTGTTCAGGCCTTTTGCCCATTTCCTAATCTGGTTTTTGGTTTTCCTACTAGTGAGTTTTATTTATTTATTTATTTATTTATTTATTTATTTATTTATTTAAAAAAATTTTTTTTCAACGTTTTTATTTATTTTTGGGACAGAGAGAGACAGAGCATGAACGGGGGAGGGGCAGAGAGAGAGGGAGACACAGAATCGGAAACAGGCTCCAGGCTCTGAGCCATCAGCCCAGAGCCTGACGCGGGGCTCGAACTCACGGACAGCGAGATCGTGACCTGGCTGAAGTCGGACGCTTAACCGACTGAGCCACCCAGGCGCCCCCCTACTAGTGAGTTTTAATAGTTCTTAATATATTTTGGCTAACAGTCCTTTATCAGATATGTCTTTAGCAAATATTTTCTCTCAGTCTGCGGCTTGTCTTCTTATCCTCTTGACAGTGTCCTTCATAGAGCAGAGTTTTTAATTTTGGTAAAGTCCAGCTTATAAATTATTTCTTTCAAGGATCATGCCTTTGGAACTGTATCTAAAAAGTCATCACAAAATTCAAGGTCATCTTAGATTTATAGGATCTGTGCTGATGTATCCTCTTTCATTTCTGATAATAGTAATTTGACTTCCCTGTTTCTTTTTCCTAGCCTTGTTAGAGGCTTATTGATTTTATTGACTTTTTCTAAAACAAAACAACAAAACAAAACAAAACAAAACAAGCTTTTGGTTTCATTGATTTTCTGTATTGATTTCCTGTTTTCAATTTCATTGATTTCTGCTCTGATTATTATTATTTATTTCTTCTTGCTTACTCTGGATTTGCTCTTCTTTCTTTAGTTTCTTAAAGAAACTTTGACAACTGATTTTAGATCTTTTTTCTTTCCTAATATATGCATTCAATGCCATAAGTTTTCCTCTTTGCTCTGCTTTCATTGCATCCACAATTTTAATAAGTTTTATTTTCATTTAGTTCAAAATACTTTTTAATTTTTCTTGAGATATCTTCTTTGACCAATGTATATTTAGAATTGTGTTTAATCCCCTTGTATTTTGAGATTTTCCCAGCTATCTTTGTGTTATTGCCTCTGAGCTTAAGTCCAGTGTGGTCTGAGAACAAACATTTTGTGATTTATATTTTCAAAAATTCGTTAAGATGTATTTTATGGTTCAGAAGTTGTCTATCTTAGTGAATGTGTCAGATATTAATTTAGGGAAATTCTCACTTATTACTGCTTAAAATTGCTTCTGTTCCTTTCTCTCTTTATTTCCTTCTAGTATTCCCATTATGCATGCATTTCACCTTTTTTAACTGTCCCACAGTTCCTGGATATTTTGTTCTTTTTTTTTTCCCCCAGTCTTTTTCTCTTTGCATTTCAGTTTTGTAATCTTCTACTGTCATATCCTCAAGCTCAGAGATTCTTTCTTCAACCATGTCCAGTCTACCAAGTCATTCTTCATATCTGTTACAGTGTTTCTGATCTCAAGCATTTAAAAAAATTTTTTTTAACATTTATTTATTTTTTTTTTTTGAGAGACAAAGAGAGACAGAGCATGAGTGGGGGAGGGGCAGAGAGAGGGAGACACAGAATCTGAAGCAGGCTCCAGGCTCTGAGCTGTCAGCACAGAGCTGGACTTGGGGCTCAAACTCACAAAGATCATGACCTGAGCTGCAGTCAGATGCTTAACCAACTGAGCCATCCAGGAGCCCCTCAAGCATTTCTTTTTGATTATGTCTTAGAATATTCATCTCCCTGCTTACATTATCCATGTGTTCTTATATGTTGCCTACTTTTTCTTCGTTAAAGCCTTTAGCATATTAATTTTAGTTATTAAAATTCTTGGTCTGATCATTCTAACATTCTTGCCATATCTGACTCTGGTTCTGATATTGTTCAGGCTCTTCAAACTGTGTTTACTTTTTAGTATGCCTTGAACGTTTCTGTTGAAAAGTAGACATGATGTACTTAGTAAAAGGAACTGCAGTAATTAAACCTTTAGTAATGTAGTGATCAGGTGCCCAGAGAGGGGAAGCCCTGTTTGGTCCTATGATTAGGTCTCAGCCTTTTGGGGAGCCTGTGCCCCTCGACTGTGTACTTCACCACTACTTCTCAGTGGTGGGAAAGGATGGGCTAAGTGGGGGCTGCGGTTGTGTATTTCCCTTCCCTCAGGTCAGGTAGGATCTGGTAAAACTCTAGTAGGTTAGTCTCTGGTGAAGTAGTTTCTCATGGGGGCAGACTTTGTTAAGAACACAATACCCTGGGTGGTTCAGTTGATTAAGCATTCGACTCTTGATTTCTGCTAAGGTCATGATCTTATGGTTTGTGACTTCAAGCCCCCTGTCGGTCTCTGTGCTGGCAGTGCAGAGCCTGCTGGGGATTCTCTCTCTGCCATCTTTCTCTCTGCCTCTACCCTGCTTGCTCTTTCAATATAAATAAATAAACTTAAAAAAACAAAAATAAGAAAGAATAGAATACCACTTGCATATTTCAAATAATTTTTTTTTTTTTTACATTTTATTTATTTTTGAGAGAGAGAGAGAGAGCACAAGTGGAGGAGAGGCAGAGGGAGAGGGAGACACGGAATGTGAAGCTGGCTCCAGGCTCTGAGCTCTCAGCACAGAGTTTGACGCGGGGCCGGAACTCACAAACGCGAGATCCTGGCCTGAGCCGAAGTCAGGCACTTAACCGACTGAGCCACCCAGGCTCCCCGCCCCTTGAATATTTCAAATGGTTCCTTTTCTCTTTTCCCTGCAGGAAGCATGAGGGGTTCTTCTGATATTCACTGTGAGAACCTGGTAGCAGTCCCTGAGATGAAACTCACAAAAGCGCGCCCTCCTCCCCTTAATGGGTCTTTCAGAGATTTTAACCCTCAGATTTGTCCATACTGAGATTCCAGGAATTTGTCAGTTACAATTCAGGTTTTCTTCTTGTTCCTGTGAAGGTCTGTGCTTATAGGTTTCTGCTTTATTGAACTGTGATTCTCTGTATCTGCTTGTTTGTTTTCCCAGTTTGGGAGATTAGCAGTTTTCCCTGTGATCTCATTTCTCTGATGAATGTTAAGAAGAGTTGTTGATTTTTTCAGATTGTTTAGCTTTTCATTAGCTGTTCGGATGGAATGGCAACTTCTAATTTGTTTATTA